CATTCATTCATTCACTCGTTTATTCATTCGTTCGTTCATTCATTCGTTCATTCATTCGTTCATTCATTCATTCATTCACTCATTCATTCATTCATTTATTCATTCATTCACTCGTTCATGCATGCATGCATCCATCGATTCATCCATCAATATTTCATCATCTTCCTATCGTGTGTCAGATAGGGACCCGTCGCTATTTCGAAAGAATCGATTATTCCGTATTTAACTTGCTTAATCGGTTCGTGTGTGTGTGTGTGTGTCTGTGTTATTGTGTCTGTGTTATTGTGTCTGTGTTATTATTGGTATATATGTGTGTGTGCGTGTGTTTGTGCGTGTGAGTTTGTGTACAAGTGTGTGTGTATTTACCGGTAATAATTATAATTATCTGTATACATGTGTGTTTTTGTGTGTATATGTTTGTGTGTGTGTGGGTGTGTGTTTGTGTGTGTGTGTTTGTGTGTGTATGTTTGTGTGTGTGAGAGTTTATGTGTGTTTGTGTGTGTGTGTTTGTGTGTGTGTTTGTATAAAAATATCGATATACCATCCTTCCTATATAACTGGCCCATTCTCGTTATTATTATTATTATTATTATCATCATCATCATCATCATTATTATTATTATTATTATCATCATTATTATTATTATTAATATTATTATTATTATTATTATCGATTGAACACCTGTAAAGCAGAGAGCATTGTGACATCGCCTTCAAACTGACTGACTGACGATAATAATGTCACCTAGGATGACGACGATGACGATGATGATTATATTGTTGTTGTTGTTGTTGATAATGTTGTTATTGATGATGTTGTTGTTGTTGTTGTGGAAGATGTTGATGGTGATGGTGTTGTTGTTGATGATGATGATGTTGTTGTTGTTTTTTTTTTGTTGTTGTTGTTGATGTTGTTGATGATGATGTTGTTGTTGTGGAAGATGTTGATGGTGTTGATGATGATGATGATGTTGTTGTTGTTTTTTGTTGTTGTTGTTGATGTTGTCGATAGTGGTGATGTTGTTTTTGTTTTTAGTTGTTGATGATGATGTTGTTGTTGTGGAAGATGTTGATGGTGTTGATGATGATGATGATGTTGTTGTTGTTTTTTGTTGTTGTTGTTGATGTTGTCGATAGTGGT